TAAACAAATTAATGAAGACACTCAGATCCAATCAACACAAGCTAAAAAGCTTTATTAGACCTGCTAAGACAAATTTGTAATTTTTTTTCCAAGAAATAATATTATATCCTTTTTATAGATGTATGTATGTGTTCACATAGGTAAACGGTAGTCCAATGATAAACATCTTCTAGCTGTTCCTGCCTCAAAAACATTAACTTTTGGTGACATACAGAGCGTTTTCTATATGCGCTCCAAAGTTGTGGAACATAAATAAGAAACTTAAGACCGACATTTTTTTAAAATTCTAGGTTACGTTCCCCCCCCCCCCCCCCTTTTTATAGTTTAAAATTGACAATTTTTTAAGTACCTTAGGAATCTCAATCACATWTATATTTTTCACTTCCATTTGTTAAAAGCATTGAGAGTTTTAAATGCGTTGTTTTAAAAAATAAAGTATYATTATTGAAGGTTTTACGAGAAGTGATATGCAGTCAGTTTTATTTATACATTTAACAAATTCCTACCTAAAAATATAATCAACGACGAGTCGCTCATATAAAATAATTTCAAAATTTCAATAATTTTAGGTACTATTGCAGAAATAATATAGTATATCTATGTTTGCACCATATTGAGGATAAAACTCAAAATATAGCGGAAGAAAAACACTATTTTCACAAAAATACAGACTTACAAAATTAAATGGTACACAATAAGCATAATGCATTGTTTTTTTTTTTGAATATTTTAAAAGGAAATATTTCATAATTTCGAGGAAATTCAACAACAAAATTATCTAATCTTCYTTTATTTCGAAATTAGCTGCCTTTGCGTGTTCAATGACTCATGTTTAAAGTTGCGTAATGCTTTTCGTTAAAAAAAGGCAAGATTGTGTCATCAAAATAACCAAGTTTATCAAGATGATCGTCATCGATAATAAACTACCTCAATCGTCATTGGGCCTTTTTGATTCGTTTAATACGTAAGTCTCTCTTTAATTACTGTTGTTGCCATGACAATATGATTTTCACGTGGTTAYTTTTCAACCAAATGAACTCCTTACTAAAGAAGTGTTCGTTGAATACCATAATTTAAATTTATTAGAAATTTTCAATGTTTTTGTCTTGGAATGTAGGATTTCAACTATATACCCCAAAGTTATGACTAAACCAGTAAATAACAAAAAAATTAACGATTTTCGTATTCTAAATATTTATTTCGTAGTTTTAAGAAATCAATCAATTTTGAATGAATAATTTTCTGCAAGATTTACTTCTGATAACTTGTTTTCGTTTAAAATRACTCTTCAGTCTTATTTACAAAAAAGTTCTGAAAATCGCATCAAAGTATTATCATTTTGAAATCATTCCCCGCAATCGGGGAGCTAATTTTTCCACCGAGCTCTTTGTTCTTCGACCCAAAAGAAACAAATATTTATATTCTAAATTGTGGTTCCGAAATATCAARAACTTCAGCCTTGACGACAATTCAAAAACGTCCTTGCTTAATCTCTTATTAAATTGACTCGAAATCAATAGCCACTACCGTGTTTTTCTTGCTAAATAGAGGCTTTTAAAGAGCCAGAAAAAGAAGTACTGACAATTGCGTTTAACTTTGACCTGCAACTCAATATGATAATTTCCTTTTTCCTTTCTCTAACTCGTCAAATTATGCAAATTTGAAAGTATCTAAAAACGTCAAAAAATATAATCGTCGCGACAAGTACAGAATTTTGATAAAATGAACTTCAAAAGCCAACAAAAGTATGGTATCGAAAAAGCTTGGATTATTTGTGATTAGGAGGCGAGTTTTGAAGATCTTTTAAAACAGAATCATTAACAATACCCGCCTCGGCAAGAATCGAAGGAGAATAAAAATAACGTATTYAAGGAATAATTGTTTATGTAATAAATTTCAAAATCATGAATGCTATGAGTAGTGTTTAAAGATCATGAAATGTTCAAGAAGTGAGGATGCTTAATCTTTGTGTTAACGAGGACCGGAAGCACTGCTCTTGGCCCTTTCCTGTCCAAAGCGTGGACGATTCAAACTATATACCACAATGAAAGATAATGATGAATTACTCATCTCTCAACTCTTATGAAACTCTATAATCTAGATCTACTCCTCAATAATTTTATGGCTCTTCTAGAATCCACGAAAATCGTATTCAGAATTTTTTTTTATTTATTTTTTTTACGCCTCGACTGTTTTACTGATCTCGCACGAAAGACAAAAAAAGCAGGGAGCCCACTCAATAAAGCTACAAGAAAAAACCCAAATCAACCAATCACAATTCGTTTTCAAGTTTGTTTGGTTTGGGTTGTCACGTGATGAAATCACATGAGAAAGAATTCAATCAAATGGTGGGTTGTGATTGGTGGAATGGTAATTAGACCTGTCATGAGTAATAATTGCTGTGATGAAAGCAACAATAGGATGTCAGTTAAATGGTTTATAGGCCCTCCCCCGAAAACTCGGACCGGCTCAAGCAAAAAAAGTGATAAGATGAAAATATATAGTGGGTAGCCACGCGAAAATTCCTAACAATTGCACCAAAAAGAAGCCATTGCAGTATAGAAGGGAATTCCTCCGAAGGCAACGGGCTGTTCGGGCATATGAGTTGTGTTGTCGGTAGAGAGAAAACCCTTCAGGAATCGTTTTGGAGAGCTTAACTAATTGATCCAGTGTGCTCGAGGTGTTTTGTGTATTCGCTACGTCGTAGGAGCTTCCATCATTTTAACTTGGAATTGAGCAAGTATAACTCTAGACCTAACGAACCAAAGCGTATMCAGAACTGGAGAGAAAGAAGGTTCAATAGCATATTGACTGCACGAATGAATACACTTGGCGGAGACAAGGAATTAAGCGATCTCCTGGACTTTAGCGCGGTTAGTTATACATCGATGTATAGAGATCAAGAGTGTACCTTCATAGCATTTTGTTTTTTTACGTGATATGAAATTTTATCGGATCTGTCGCGCGAAGACCTGGCTTTATTTTTACCTCATCTTTATTATTTCGTTATGTCGTAGATGTTCGCTCCACCGGGTTCTTTGGGTGGAAAGTCTGCAGGGACATTAGCCGAGTCAAGCTTGTCTGGATCGTTACACAGAACAGGTGCCATACTTAGTTTAATACACGTTATACCTAACCGTACTCCAGTGCAATGTCTGTAGAACCTGTTGTACRTGGCCAATGCTCGTGAAATTCGGTCATTTGATCAAGTATACATCAAGAATTGTACCCAAATTAAAATAAAGCTGTTAACTATTAATATAAGAGAATTTCTTTTGTAGGTGGTTTAGACGAATCATCCACGTGGCAAGCCAATGTCTCAGGTTATGACAGGGTATGTATAGTTTTGCTCGCAAGAGCATATTTTTATTCCAATCACTCAAAACAACACAGTAAAACAAAACATTATACTCATTTTAACTAAACATTAACAGAAACAGAAAATAAGGAATTAAAACGCTACGCACTGCGAACGGGAACTCTAGGTTTTTTGTTGAGATTTAAAAACTGTTGTTTTGCATGGGAAAACATTTGAAGGTCCGTCCGTCAACCACTTTGAGCCATTGACTCGATAAATGAATTTGTCTCGGCTATTTTTTATAAAGAAAATCCTCAAATATCAACTTATAYGTTATCGATAATCTTGCATGCAGTACTTAATACAAAGTAAGTAAATATTCCAAAGTATTTTTTCAAGGCAAATTTGAAACGTTTTTGTTGTTGTTGTATATATTCTTAGGGTTACCACAATGAATCCAACCATGGTATATACGGCTCCATCGACGATGTGGATAGCGAGTTTCTAGCTCGAAAAACGAGTTTTTCAAACTACCTTTCTTCTAATTCTCTCGCAAGTTTAGGTAAGAATTTATTTAATTTTAAAGGAATTGGGAAAATTATTCTTGGGCTTGAGTTTAACGAAGCGAGTTTGTTTGTATGACTCGTGCGCTTGGCTATTGACTATTGTTATTATTCTTTGTCCGTCGCTTCCTCTCTATATGGCATAATCGTTGGATCGTGTGACTAGATTCCTAATACAACGTTTATAAAGTAAAACCTGACCGTTAAGARAACAAAATATATCTAGATCTGATGAAAAGACAGTGAAAATGTTAAGTCTGCGAACGTTTAATGGTTGTTTCTTTTATCCATCGTTAATTGTTGTATGGTCTTGGCGTGACTTGATTTTTGCCGTCTTCGCCTGATTGAATATGGCGTACTTTTCAGAATACTCAAAAAATTATTATCACCAAACCTCTGTTAAGTTCCTCTAAGCTCAGATTTTCCAACCAAACCGTTTAACATTTTATTCTCATTTTTCCCCTCAATATATTGCCAATAGAGTTAAAACTCGCCATTTTTATTAACGAACAATGAAACGCTTACAAAAAAGCCTCGTTCGAACTCCCGTCTATTTGACCTATTGAAATAAGAATTTTCTACTACTGTAAGACCTTGAATTCATCGCTAATTGTTCAAAAATTTAATAAATTCAAATGACTGTGTTATTTGTTGAATATATTTTGCGGATCATCTTCGATTGGTATGACCCCACAAAACAAAGATAATCGTGGAAAAATGCTCTYCCACCCCACCTATCAGTGCTATTCGTTATATCGATATACTAGCAATAATATCATAAATATTTATGGCGTATATTTCGTTTAATCTTTTCTTTAACAAAATTCATCACAACTAAGTTAAGACGTTCGGTGTATCAGATGGTACGCATATGCTTCATTTTAATATATGTATGTATATATTTCAATGGAATACAAAATGTTCTTAGCAAAAAAAAATTGCTTAACCACAGTTCGAAACAAAAAAGCCAATATATATATTTTCAATGAATGAGTCACTCAACAAAGGATTTCTCCCAGAATTTGATACTATGAATTTAAAGCATTGACAGTCTTAACAAAATATTCCATTTTTGATAGCCTTYATTGCTTTAAAAAGCATTACAGTTAAAGTGTATCGTTTGAAAAAAAATGGTTAAAGACAGATATATTTTTGGTAATTGTTATTCAATATGCTGGTGAAGTTGGTAAAACAGAACCAAATACTGACTGTATATTTACTCATATCATTTTATCGTCAGCTTTAGTTAAACAACAGTTCAAAGACTGTAAACTTTCAATGGCTTCTATTATTACTCTATGAGTTATCTCAAATACAGCTTTACGTTCTTGGGCTTTCTGTCACATCAAACTGCATACGGTTAAGCAATGCTTTTGAATCAAGATTGAAATATAGATAAATGAAAAAAACAATTTTGCTGAATTTGGTCATTAAGTTGGTGAGTTCGAAAGTTATTTTTTCTCTTTTCGTTAATTTTACTCTTCCCACTTTAAAGGAAAAAATGAGAATAACCTTGTTTATCAAATTATTGAGATTTGTTCCRAGTTTACCTCTATAATTTTGGCATTACCTTTTGCCTTAAAAAGCAATCCATTGTTAGAAAAAGTATATAAATTTTGTTTATGATATGTTGTATTAATATGCATTATATGAAGATTATTACGACAAAAATTAAAAAAAGATGTCAATAAACTTGTCTTTACTTCTATCTTTGATTTTGATTAAAGAAAGTCATAAAAACAACTAGAATTTTGAGGTGATACAGTTTTGATGAGAAACAACTTCATTTTCATTATCTATAAAATAATTCTATAGAATCATAAAAGTTAATGTTTAATCTTGAAGCTTTAAGAACAAAACCAGTCAATATGTAAGTCATAAATGTAACTATGACTTACATAAAAATAATTGAAATGTTTTTTTATTTTTCATTTTAAAAATGTAGGTAGATTATTAAAATTATAGAATAATAAGTTATGCGGCAACATTGTTAGATTTTGGCTTCTGTTTACCATAAATTGTCTACAAAATTTATCTTCTGAATATCTGGGAAGTAATGTTTGAGAATGAAAGAGAAGAGTAAACTTAGTATTCATGTTATCGCAGACAATAATTTAGATTAATCAGAATCGACAAAATTGACAAAGAAAATCATGTTAACTTTTGCAGTCAGGAGAATAACTGTGAGTCGAAAAACCATGCTGAGAAATTTTTAATTTTCTTTYTTCCTCAGTGACAAGTTATATTAAAACTTGGAAAATGCTATTTTTTTCGTCTTCAGAAAGTACTTCCTTGAGTGGGTAATTTTTACCTTGAGGCACTTGTTTAGTAGTAAGATTACATTTAAGAATAAAGAGTTACATGGAAAAAAAGAATTTGAAATTTGAAATCACTCGTACTAAAAATGATTGCATCAGTTTTTTAACATATACACTTTTTTAGTGAAATTACTAATTAAAAAGTCAGAGAAAAAGTAATCTAAGAAATTGTTTTTCTTTTGGCAACACATTAGGATTGTCCTTGTGCTAATTCTTATTCTTAACTGCTTGTTTATTTTTGGATTACATTTTTTTCAAAACAGAAAAAAAGACTGAAGGAAAAAATTTTTTTTTTCTGGCATAAAGATTATGATCCCAGTATATTTTACTTAAAATAACATTAAACAAGCTTAAGAGTTTTGTGTACAGTATGAAAACTATAATGTATTGAAATAAGAACTTTTGAGATAAATTGGTTACATATTATATTATTGAAGCTTTTTTATATAGATTAAAAAGTCTTTTTTCCCATCAACTGACTCCAACTACATCTAGACAGAACCACTCATGAAGCAATAGCAAACAACTGTAATTACTGTAAAGATTGCTGTAACATGCTAAAAACATGCTAGTTATTTTCTTCCGGAAATCACTGATATTAAAAATTGTTTCAGTTTAGAGTTCAGAGTCTTTTTTTGAGAAAAAATGTAAGAAAAAGTATCATTCATATCTTAACCACTCTAAACTGAAGACTTAGAGGAGTAGATCACCATTTTGTTATCAATGCTCCATTTTACAGTGTTCCGTTCAGTGACCACGAATAATAGTTCCAAGCTGAGGTTGAAGTTGCTGCATAATTATAAAAAGTATAGTTTTCTATGCATCAAAACTAGACTTGGAACTATTATTCGTGGTCACATTGAAAAGAACTGTGAAATGGAGTATTCGTACTGTTTTTTAGTACATTTTTAAAACATGAATGAAATATGATTTTGAAAGTTTTTACTGAACAAAAAGTGATGATAAAACCAATAGAAGAAAGAACTACTGAAGAGTATTTAACTGTCTTCAACTAAGGAAGTTGTTATTTAAATTAGGATGTCCAATCTACTGCCAGAAAATCAAGTCACATATCGCATGTTAATAAACGTTTTTCTTCAATAAATATGTCAACAGAAATATGATCCAAAGTTTAGTTTTCTGGTCCCTTTTTTGATTTTTGAATTTTGAAATATTGTGGAATAGATTTTACTGCAGAATAAAAACTGTTTTAAACGGAAAATGAAGAACTGTTTCATATTACTTTAGAATACTAGTTTAGGTGTGTGGTTTTGAGTTTTTTTATATTTATGTGCCACAAAACATTATAAAACTAAAAAAAATAGGGATAAATGAGAGACCGTAACAATATATCATTAAGGGAAAAAAACGGTGTGCCAAGTTGACCCTTTTATGGTTATATATCATAGTCTTCATGCCAATCAGAATCGGAGAGATACAACCTAGTGTTGGTGAATACTGTATTATTAAGTTGGATTCCTATCAAATGAGGTAACTAGAAAACTTCCTGTCTTCCATAATGGGTAAGGTTATTGCTAGCCCAATCATCCAATCGGTAATTATTTGACAAAATATTCCAAGCAATTTGCTGGTACCAGCTAATAGGTCTTGGTGTAGACTGGAGGCCGCGTGAATTAAGTGTTTTTGCCTTTAATACTAAGAAGGTGCATGACTTGAGGAGTACTTAAAACAAATAATTGATCTCCAGGACTTAAGTAATAATCACTAGCCATTAGACTAATAACACTATAGTAAGGCTTTTCTTTTGATCAGTATTTCTAAGATGTCCTAATATACTATAACTAAATGATCTTGAATAAGTTGCTTAATCTCATGTCTTCCTAAACTTCTAGAGGATAAGAAATCATACTACTTCACAGACACTAGATATGGGGATTATACATATAATATTATGTGTGTGTGTGTTTATGAGGGTAGAAAAGCTTAGTTAAAACACAATAAGACAGCGTCTTCACGTGATGTCATAGCAGCCATGTTGGTGTACCAAAATGATACATGTTTTATCCTCCGGGAGTTGAACTATATTTTTATACAAAAACCGTGCAGAAAGTTTCTATTGTTTGGTACACCAATATGACTGCCTTGTCATGTGAGTGAAAACGTTCTATTTTGAGATTTTGTCTCTGCAAGACTGCTATTTTTGGTGAGTCATTATGACTTCCATAATACGTCAACTTTTTATGGCCTGAGATAATTTGAATGACAGAAGCCAAATTGCCCATTTCAACTGTAGCAAGTGGAGATATATTTGTTCTGTAATTGTGATGACTCTAAATAAGAGGTCCTCAGGGACATCACATTTTAGAAGACATTTGTGGGTTATGCTACCTCTTGATTTGATTCTCATTGATCTCACACTCTTGTTTTGAGGGCCAAGTATGGTATTTGGTTATTGTGGTGCATATTAGTAGGTACAAGCTGAGAAGTGAATTTTGTTTTAGCCAATCACAGTGTGTTTAGCTGTTTTGCTGCCGACCCTCATTATCAGGCTACTGTTTTCTTTTGACTAAAATATAAAAATATAGAAAATATAGAAAGGAAGAATAAAAACAATTTCACTTTACTGCCATGTTTGCTTAGTTCTTTTAAGCTTAGGGCCAGTTGCACACCGAGTTCACCGCTTAGCTGGAAAGTAGTCATCTAAATATAGCCCTCTTGCT